TTAAAAAAAATAAAGTGATATATATATATATATATATATATATATATATATATATATATCCAACTATTAAATTATTCAAGATATTAATATAAATTTAAAATATCAATTCAGTAATTAAAATAATTTTAATTTTTTATAAATACATTGAAATACATTTTTATTAACATACAAGTAATATATATATATATATATATATATATATATATATATATATATATAAAGAGACTAAATTAATAATTAATTTAATTATTGATTTAGTGACCGAATTCGATGACTAGAATCGGTGACCGATTCAGTGACCGATTCGGTGGCCAGAATCGATGACTAATTTAATAATCAATTTTAATTTTTTTATTCACATGCTAAATAAAAAAATAAAATCAAATAATTATATTACTAAATTATTTAATAAGTTAATAAACAATTTTTTTAAAATATTTATAATGTTATTAAAAATGTTATCAATTATTTTAAATTATTAAGTAAATTTATATTTAAAATATTTTAAATAAAATATTTATATAAATGAAAAATAGTTATCGGTGTAAAAATTATTTTTTTAGTGACTGAAATTTTAGTCACTAAATCGGTTACTAAATATAAAAAAAATTAATAATTACATAAATTAAATATAGATTAATTAAAAAAATAAATTAAATAATAAAGTGACTGAAATAGTAACCGATTTTATGTGACCGAAAATTCGGTTACTATTTCGGTTACTAGACTAAAAAATAATAATTTGGTTACTGATTCGGTCACTGATAGTAACTAAATTTTTCGGTCACTGATTTCGGTTACTATTTGACATTTTTCTAGTAGTGTACCCATGAACTTACCATTCTTGGTTTTTACAGTTTCTAATCCCATCTTGATGTTTCCAGGCAATGGAGCTTATGATGGTCGATGCACTTGTTCATGCTAATAGTTATTTCGAAATTTCATATAAATAATCCTTCTCAGTACTGGAAGGTTATCAGGGCTTCTTACAAAATTAAAAGCATTTTTACAATGCTCTTTTGAATCATAAAACGTAATTTACTTTAAAAATGCAATCTGGATGACACAATAGTTAAAACTATTGAGACAAGTACAAGTCAAGAACTAAAGGAGGCCAGGGAGTTCATCCTGCGCATTCGAAGGAGGAATTTGTACCAGGCATGTTTTTAACCTTGTTGGTTTTCTTTGATTGTTGTCAATTACCTGTTGCAATTACCTATTACGTCATCGTATCTTCTCAAGTCTGTTTGTCACAAATTCAATGCTAACTATTGCGTGGATGTTTCTAAATTTACATTACATTGGCCTAAAATGTTTGTGTGTATTTATTAAATTATAATTATAATTATATAGTCTTGCTGAACCTGAGAAAGAATTTTGTTTTCCAGTTTTGTAATGAGTACCCAGTACCCAAGGGTATGCTAGACAATTTTAAGAAGGTCACCCCTCAAGATATTGTTTGCTCTCAGGTCTTCAATCCGATTAAACCTTCTCATTTGCAAATTGCATATAATTTTGATTCTTTCTCTTCAAGGAGGAATTCCATTTTGTTTTATATATGTATCTGGCAGAAGAGTGGTGGAGTTACTCTGAAAGAGGAGGATGTAGTTGTTTATAACGTCAAAATTGATTTGACTAGTGGAAATCATAATCCTCTTGAAAGGTATTCAATGAAGAATAATCATGCTTGTTGAACATAGGCATTTAGTTTGTTTTAACTTACTATAATGTTATCCTAATGTATTATTTTTCTCTCTTATGGTGCATGTTTCTGTGGTAGCATCCACTTTTTCAAGGTACATCGCCAAACCTACCTAACTATCTTTCATCAAGATATTTCTTTAATCTTCTTATATATTAATTGGTTTTGCCTGTGTCTATATTGTATTAGTGGATTATATCTTTTTTTTGCACTATTAAACCTCTTACCTTATGCAGTTTGACAGTTTCCTTGCTAATAAGTTTTAGTTTAAACTGTTTTATATTACTTCTGTTGGGATACTGGGCTGCAATTGTTCAAAATTATTGAAATATTTAAAGTGGTTTAGTTTGGCCCGATTATTGGTGCTTAGTTTGGAATTAAATTATGCTAGCTGTATTGAGTTACCTAGTTTCAATAATGCATTCAGGATTATGAAAGCAATGAGAAATTTACAATACCCGATGACCGTGTAAGCCACTTGCTACCTATATCTTACCAAGATATGATAGTTAAGGTGTACTCCAAAAAGGGCTGAACTGGTTAGTTATCCTGTGCATGTTTAAACTTCTTTCCTTTACCCATTCAGGTTGGATTCACTAATATATTGCTTTGTGCAATCCTATAGGTGCAGACAATTTCAGAGGCTTTTGAAAATTTTCAATTGAAGACATATGGGATCAAAACACAACCACATTCAATACCACAAAAGAAGCGACGTTACAATTCAGTTTTATGAAGGGAAATGTATCATTACTATGATACTATTTTTTTTTGTTCACCTTTATTGTGTCTCACCCTTTCTTGGTATATATGCATTTTCTACAATTGAAATATAGTCTTAAGTCCACAGAAAACAATATTGACACCCTCTTAAGGTTGTGCTAGAGTTACCATATAAAAAAAGGCAATTATGTGTATAGCAGTGTTTAAGTGTAACAGTTTCATTTAGTAGTACTTGGCAATGAGAAATCTTTTCTGTCACTATTAGTTGGCAGTTTCAATTTGCAAATGTTTCTCAAATCTTAAGTTTATGACAAATTGGTCCACATTTCATGGATGAGAATGCATCTTAACTACTAACTACTAAGCATTCATTATGTAATACAATTGTGTCCAATTGGAGAAAAAAATTTGTCTAATGAACTTGATATAATTAAAAATGTAAATAAATAAAAATAATTAACTTTGTTATTAATTTAGCGACCGATTTAAATCGGTCGCTATTTTTTTACTTTGTTATTGATTTAGTGACCGATTTAAATCGATCGGTCGCTATTTTTTTACTTTGTCACCACTTTAGCGACCAATTTGATATATTAATTTCGGTCGCTACTTTACGACCGAAATGAAAAATCGGTCACTAACACATTAGCGACTTGGCTTTTTGCGACGACGCACTGTCGGTCGCTAATTTCGGTCGCTAACTGATTAGCGACCGAGTTTTTGACATTAGCGACCGATTTTTTCGGTCGCTAAAATGAATTTTTTTTTGTAGTGTCACAATCACAATTACACATTTTTAGGAGTTGATCCCAAATGAAATTTTTATTTACCTTATCTTTAAAGATAGATTTTTTGTCGCAATAAGCTTGCAATTAAAATAATTCCTTCTTTAGTGATATTGGCCAATCATCATAAATTGAAATATGGATAAAAATTTTCTAATTGTCTCTTTAGGATATTTTAAGATAGTTATAACATAATTATCTATATATCTTGTGAAAGTAGCTTTAGTAAATTTGAGTAGATTTTTGTTTCATGCGAAACTTTTTATAGTTGATGACCAATCATTGGAATAAGTTTTTATAGTTATACTTTATTAATCTGAATCTGGAACTTATAGTATAATCTTAAACTAACATTAATGTTAGGAAAAATTGTTAACACTACACTATTCACATGAAATGTAGTCAATAATTGCATATTCATAGTGCCAATAAAATCAAAAGAGAGATTCATATAGTGCCAATAAACCTCACTGCTCATGAAGTATATCCCTTGCAATTGCTAGTGTTTGATGAGATCTTTAAAAAAATTTATATTCACATCTTGCTTCTTAATAGTGGCTATCAAAAAGCTTTGGTCCTTTCTAGAAAATTGAACATATTGACAAAGATAAGTTTGGAGATAGATTTAGGAATAGATATTTATCTTCCGAATTCTTGTAAAGATAAGTCTGAAAATAGATCTTTTCTCTTTTAAAAATATTGTATGGACTTAATAAACAACTAAATAGTTATGAGATTTGCAATTTTCATAAATGTAATTATTTTGAGTTTTTTTTTTTCTTTTTGAGTAAAGAATTTTGCAAATAATTTTGAGATGATACTGAATGATTTAAGAGAACAAGTTGAGATTGAAATTATATTTGAATTTTTAGTTTTAAGAGATTTTCATACTAATTTTCTATATATAATTCATACTATAGTACGTTTCTCGTAAAAATTGTTAGATTTTTATATCATTTCAAATGGACAAACTCAAATAACCACACCTAGCAATATTACTATTTAAAAAAATACCATAAAAATAAAATTTTAATTTGTTAAATTGGAATCTTATTTTTAATTAATATAGTTGAAAGTTTAATAGTTTAAAGATAAATTCCATTGATTCAAAAATTAATTTAATAAAAGTAATTTCTAACTTAATGACAATAATAATTAAATATATTTTTTAGTAAAATAACTGATATTTAATAATTTCTAGTATTTCCCAATAAAAGATTCTTAAATGTTAGTTAAAGAAGGCGATACATGCAATTTAATTAAGGTCAATTAAAACATGAAACTGGCTTAACTTTTCCCTATGCTCGGGTTATCTTTCCCTCGTTAAAATCAAAGTATTAATTGTTCTCTGTAAAATAATAATAATAATAATCAAAAGTAACTAACTTTTACCGCATCCTGATTATCTGCACCCACACATATCTTCTATCTTTCTCCTGTTTTCTCTTTTCTTCTCAGTGACTTCATATTTTCTCCTTCCTAATACACCCTCTCATTCTCCTTTAGCCTTATAAAACCTTGCCCCTAATATATAATGAATGTAGCATAAATTAACTATTGCATTCACAACATTCTTCTCACAAACCCATCAAAAGAAGCATTTCACTATTTTTCTATTTCTGTTCCCATCAGATTAACAACAGTGAGTACCAGGTAAATTTCAGCTCTTGTTGCTGAACAAGCCTGAATAATATTTATTTAAATTTACTCCAATTGTTTAAAAGATTCCATCTACTGTTCATCTTTTCTATTTGGTTAATATTTCAGGAGACCTATTCTCTGGTAGAAGCATGAACATCAGACAGCAAAGCGTTGAGGGTTTCCAAAATGTTAGTTTTGTACATATACCCATTTTTTGCTTTACATTTTTTGAACTTTATTTGATAGAATAAACGATTTTTTTTAATGTGTCATCACTTGAAGTAATACTTAAATATATTTTTAGTCATGTAATTTAATTATTCTGCAAAGTCATAATTGTTTTTAATCTTAAAAAGAAAAATCTGCAGAAATAGTGGTAAAAAAATTGTGTTAGTGACTGCATTATTATTGTAGCCAAATTGTGTTAAATAGAAGAATTAAAAACGTATAAACTTAGAAAAACAATAAAAATAGATAGATTGGTTTCTACTCAGAAGTCGTGTTCTATATTGAGGTAGTGCTTTTGCATCAATTTTATGGTAATTGTTCTTATTTATTTTCATATACCTTGTGTGAAAACACGAAACTTTCTTCTTCAGGAGTCTGAGAGCACGGTTCCCCAGGCTATCCCACAGGCAACAACAAATGAAATGAATGGTCTTTCTCCACCCAGCTTCATGCCAATGAATGAGTATGAAGAAATAATGGCACTGCTAACTGATGACAACGATAATTATCAACAAGATCAGGCATTGAAACACTCCAAGACTTTTCTAACAACATCAGAAGAGGAGGACTCTTTGCAACTCCCTTTTCAACTAGATCACTCGTTTACTTTAGAAGAGATTCTTGGACAAGGCAAAACATTGTCTTCTCAGACACAGGTGGGAGGATCATCATCACATGAGCTGAGGGATTTTGTTGCACAAAGTGTAACAACAGACACAACTTCAACTATTCAACTGAACTCAAATTCGTTCGAGAGGATGGACATTACAATTTCACCAGGGGTAGTAGTATCTATTGCATCCATTTCCATATTCGGTGAAAACTCTTCGAATGGACCAGTTCAGCAACTAGGAAACAATGTATTCAACCCTATTTTCAGCTCACAGAACTGTTCGAATTCCATTTTGTCCATGCCTGAAAACACTCCAAAATTTTGGCCTTCGGGATCCAATGCATTGTATCCTCCACAAGCTGGTGCTTTATTTGGTGATTCCACCTTCCCTAACACAACAGCGAACATATTCACTCAGTTTGTATCTCCAAGCTTCCCAATGCATCCTTTTGGTTGTGCTAGTTTTGGTACTAGTGCAAGTGGTCTCGTTGGAAACTCTGTAATTCATTTTCAATCACCAAGCTTTCCAGTGCATCCTTATGCTGGTCCTAGTGTTGGTAATGGTGCTGATGCCAATAATCTTGATGGACACTCACTGAATCAATTTCAATCACCAAGCTTACCAGGGCATCCTTATGTTGGTCCTAGAGCTTGTCCAAGTAAAATTCCTTGTGTTGTTGGTACTGGAGCTGGTGGTGCCAATAACCTTGACGGAAACTCACTCACTCGATATCAATCATCAAGCTTCCCAGTGCATACTTATGGTGGTATTGCTTCTGCTAGTGTTAGTGCAAATACTGATGCTAGTGTTTTTTCTGGTGCTGCCAACGCTAATGCTAATGCTAGTCCCTATGGTAGTCATCAACAATTTACTAGGGACCATCGATTCGAAATGAGTAGGATCAATCCACTAGCTGCACCTTCTGCAATGGGAGCAAACATTTGGGCTTCCCCTGCGCCAATGATGCCTAATCAAACTCAGTTTTTTCGTCGCCAACCACTTCTAACGGATTTTAAAGACTTGGTGCAGGCATGGGAGGTAAACTAACTTGTCTTAGTGTTCCATAAATGACCAACATGATAATATGGGATGAAAATTTGTAGGATTTTGTTTACATGTATTTTTTGATATATTTTTTATTTATGTATTTTATATATATAGATATAAAGTAAAAATATTACAAAATATCAAATATTAATAATATCTCAATTATAATTGCCTAAATCAAAATAATAACTTAATATCTTTTTATCTTTTTTCTTAAAAGATAATAAAATCTTTTAATACCTAATTTAAATAAAAGATAATAAAGTAATATTTACAACATTATTTCTTACTTTAATATATATTTATTTGAATTTGATATTTTTTCTTTGATTTTGTTTAGATTTTTTTTTAATTTTTTGTTTGTACTTCTTGTCATCTTTCTTGTATGAAATTACATTTTATTCAACTTCACTTTTTTCATCAAAATATTTTTTCCTTTATCAATTTCATCTCCTTTGTTTCTTTTAAATTTCATGGTAAGTTGGAAACGGTTTCTTCCTCTACATCTTTATATTTCGTCCTTAATAGCAAGTTCCTTCAAGAAATATTTTTCATACTTTTTCTTGACTTTTATTTTATATCATCGTTTGTAATAAACTCTTTTTCATCAAATCTAAAGTGAATTTTTTTCTTTCCATGTGAACTTTGAATATTTCCAAGTTATTTGTATCTTTAATCACACCTTATAACTTTTCTCCAATAATTGAACAACACTTAAAAAATTATGATTAATATCAAGAACATATAAAACATCAAAAATTAATTTGATACCCGAATGACTTTTAACTGCAATTTTTCATGTACCTTTCAGGTCTATTTGTTCTCCATTATCGATTCTCACTTTAGAAATATATGATTCATTTAACTCTTTGAAAAGTTCTCGATCATGAACTATGTGATTTGTACAACCACTGTCTATAAGTCAATTTGTGGATCTGTTGATTGTAGAACATATTGATGCAAGGAGAAGTTCTCTTTCTACCCCATCCTCTATAACTTGAAGAAGTTCCTCTTCTACTATATCCTCTATAACCTTGATGGCTTCTTCTGATTGTGATTTGCATATCTTTTCTATATGTCCCAATTGACCACATTTGTGACATTTCACATTAGGCATCCACCAACACTTTTTGGGTATGTGATTATTTTTCTTACAATAAGAACAAACAGAAAAGACTTGTGATTTTGTACATCTTTTGTTCTTGCCTTGGAGAAAACCTTCACCATGATATAGTAAAGAACCTTCACCAGCAACATGATTTCCTCTCATTAATCTTCGTTGCTCTTGCGCTTGTAAAGCATGTAGCACTTCTATCAAAGTAATATTAGACAAATCCTTTGTGTTTTCCAATGAAGTAATAAATGTTTCATATTTCTCTGGCACAGTTACAGAATTTTCTCAACTATTATGGAATCAGGAAATTTCTTGTTTAACAATTTTTTTTTGTTAGCAATACCCAACAATTTGTTTGAGTATTCATTAATTGTCTCATATTCTTGCATCTTTTATATCTCAAATTCCCTTATCAAGTTTAGAACTTTCATACCTCGAATTTTCTCATCCCCTTCATATTGATCTTTCAAATAATCCCAAATTTCTTTTGGTGACTTTAGTATCATGATTCTGGTGAAGATTATTTGTGAAACACCGACAAACAGACATGATTTAGTTTTGACTTCCTTATTTTTCTTTCTCTGTGAAATTTCATTTGAACTATGATGGGATTTTCAGATAGCGGATCAACAATATAATCTTCTTCCACAAATTCCCATGCATCCAATCCTTCAAGATAGGATTTCATTCTCACAGTCCATAAGTCATAACTTTCGCCATAAAAAATTGGAATAGCGGCTTGTGAAAAGTTTCTTTATCCTTCCATTGTATCAAACCAAATATTTGATACCACTAATGGAAATTTTTAGGATTTTGTGTATGTATTTCTGATATGTCATGTGGGTATATTTTTTATTCATGTACTATGTATATATAGAGTAAAAATATTATAAAATATCAAATATTAATAATATCTCAATCATAACTGTCTAAATCAAAATAATAACTTAATATCTTTTTATCTTCTCTCTTAAAAGATAATAAAATAATATTCTCAACCATATGCTATATATGATAAATTCAAACCTTAATTGGAATACATATCATTGTCTTTGTATGCAATTCAACTGCATCTATATTTTCAAAATTGCTTCTTAGCTCCTTGATTGAAACCCTGTTTGATATTATATTTGTTAGTATTTTAGGAATGATAGGAAAGATGGTTTGATGTTTAGTAGTGAAATTTGTGTAGAAAATAGTTTTTAGAAAGAGGTGGGTAAATAGAAGAATGTTTGTATGAGAAAAGATAGTAATTGATCTTAGAAATGTTACAAGATGTGTAGGAGTTTGTATAATTTTTTTTGTCACAGTCATTACATAAGTGGCATTGCCTATTACCACCTCCTAAATATTCTAAATTTTCTTAACTCTAGAATTATCTATCTTCTACTTTCAAACATTTCTAGAATCTTCTAAGGATTCTATTTATTACTCATATGAAGTTCTTAATTCTAGTAACATCTAGGATTTTATTTTCTAGATCTTTCCAGAATGTGCATCATCTTTCAACACTCCTCCTTAATGCAAATTCATGTAGCTCCAAGCATGAAACACAATTGTTCAAACTTGGCTCTTGGTAGTGCCTTGATAAATATGTCTGCAATTTGATCTTCTACAGTGCAATACTCAAGTTGAATTTGTTTAGTCGCTTCAACCTCTTTGATGAAGTGATATTTAATAGTTATATGTTTTGTTCTTTGATGATGGATTGGATTATTTGTCATTGCTATCGTTGACTAGTTATTACAGTAAATTGTAGTAGATGTATGTTGTTGTTTTCTTATCTCTTCAAGTATTCTTTGGAGTCATATAACTTGACTTGTCGCTTCAGCTGCTGCCATGTACTCTGCCTCTGCTATTGATTGTGCTACTATTGCTTGCTTCTTAGATGCCCAAGAGAAAAATCTGATCTAAGTGAGAAGGCATAACTTGATGTACTCTTCATGTCATCTATAAATCTTTCCCAATCACTATCAGTGTAGCCAATCAACTTTGAGTCGTTTATAGTTTTATACCATATACCAAAGTCCTTTGTGCCTTATAGATATCTTAAAATCATTTTTGCTACTCCAAACTGAATTTGACTTGGTCTTTGCATGAACCTTGATAGAAGGCTTGTAGCATACATGATATATGGTCGTGTAGTTGTAAGATATAGTAAGCTTACAATTAAAATTTTGTAGCATGATGCGTCAACTTCTGATGCCTCATCACCTTTTTGTAACTTCTCATTTGTCATGAGTGGAGTAGTCACAAATTTACAACCATACATCTTGAATTTCTTTAATAAAGCCTTAGTGTATTTCTTTTAAGAGATAAATATACCTTCCTTTTGTTGTCTTACCTCTATGCCGAGAAAATAATTCATCAAGCCAAGGTCGCTCATTTCAAATATTTTCATCACGTCTTCTTTGAATTCCCTTATCATCTCTTTATTGTTTCCTGTGTAGATAAGATCATCTACATATAGAGAGATATAATGTGAATATCATATTGACCTTGAGACTTGATATATAGTGTTGACTTACTCTTTCTCCTTCTTAAATCCTTGATTAATAAAGTACTGATCCATTATGCTATACCATGCTCGAGGACCTTACTTCAAGCCATATAGTTCTTTTCTTATCCTTAACACTTTGACTTCATTTCCTTTGCTTATAAAGCCTTGTGGTTGCTCCACGTATATTTCTTCTTCTAGTACACCATTTAGAAAGACTGATTTAACATCCAAATGATGAATGCTCCATCCTTTTTGTGTTACAAGAGCTATTAAAGCTCTAATTTTATCTAAACGAGCAACTGGGGCAAATGTCTCGTTATAGTCGATTCCAGGTTGTTATGAATAGCCCTTTGCTACCAGCCTAGCCTTGTGCTTTTGTATGGTGCCGTCAAGATTGAGCTTTGTTTTATAAATCCATTTTACTCCACTTACGTCCTTTCCATGTGGCAATCTACTAGTTCCCAAATATTATTCTTTTCGGTCATTTTAATTTCTTCCTCCATTGCCTTGATCCAGACTTATTGCTTTGTAGCCTCTTCATAGCATTCAGGCTCAAGCATTACCATGTTACATGTTTCATATACATCCACCAAGGATCTTACCCTCCTAGGAGTAGATTCTGGTGAAAAATCTTGTTGTGGAAATAAAGGAAGTATACCTGGATCTTCTATCACTTCTTGAATTTCTTCTTGGAATTGTTGTATGGGAAGAATGATGTTGTTTCTCATTATTCTTCCTTCTTCCCAATTCTAAGAAGCATTTCTGTCAACCTCAACATCTCGATTGATGGTGAGCTTCTTTGTCTGCAATTTATAAACTCTATAGCCTTTTGTTTGTGTGCTATATCTTAAGAAGATTCCTCGTATAGTCTTGTCTTCTAATTTGTTCCTTTTCTAATCTGGTACATGTATGTAACAGATAGATCCAAAAACTCTTAAGTGTTTAGCTGATGGTTTTTGCTTACTCCAAGCTTCAATTGGAGTCTTGTCTTGGATTGTCTTAGTTGGACATCTATTAAGTATATACACGACAGTGTAGACTGCTTTTGCTGAAAACGTATTTGACAAGCTTTTCTCCTTCAACATTGATCTTGTCATCTTCATCACTATGCAATTCTTTCTTTCTGATACATCATTTTGTTGTGATGTATATGCAACTGTAAGTTGTCTTTCTATTCCTTCATCTTCATAAAACTTATCAAACTCATGTGAGTTATATTCTTTACCTTGATCACTTCTAAGAACTTTTATGTGTCTTCTACTTTGTTTCTCGAGGAGAGCTTTAAACTTCTTGAATATTCCAAGGACTTCCGATTTTTCTTTGATGAAGTAAACCCAGGTCATTCTAGAAAAGTCATCGATGAAAAGGATAAAGTACCTATTATTG